CCTAACTTCCGTGTCCAACCAGAAACCGTATACTTCTGTGACCTCCATATTCGCGAAATTAAGATGTATCCTCTTCGCCTCAGTCAACCACTTTCTGACCAGTACAAACACAGAAGAATTGTACTGAATTCTCCTCACTCCGTGTTTAAACACGTAATAAAAAAGTATGCAGTTGATTAGCTAGCATACGACATATAACTCCAAGTTCAGAAGGGTCCTTAGCCCGAGAATTATCTATGCACTGAAAAGCTGCAGGCACTTTTAGAAAATATATTCATCCATCTGACGCGAATATTCGAGCTACCGTAATTTTTCTCCTTCTATCCCCTCCTCAAACTATCGTAATGTAACTGAACGTGCTACACCAGTAATTGGGAGTTGCCGTCGTTGCTCTTAAGCCGGCTTCTGATTTATTGGTAATTTTTTCGTGAATTTGCACACACCCCATAATCTGCGGTTGAGGATATTTATAGCAGAGCCCTCTGCTAGGGAAAACACGCATTAATGTGCAGATACGGGGTCTAGGACAGTTGTTAACATAGAAAATTGCCGACCGACTCCAGCTCAGACAGACGTACATCCACACAGTCGCAGCTGCCCGCGCGCCACTTGAACATACCAGCCTTCAGCGAATGCAACGCACACCAGCTGGACAACACTTGAATTTCTTCCCTCAAACCTACAAAAACACCTACCACCACCTACCTCTCCCTTGCTCTCTCTCTCTCAGGCACGAACTAACACCGACAGCAGCCACCGGTGCAGCCTGATAGGGCAACTAGGAATTCTCTATACGATACGCGGAGGTACCTGTAAAAACTAGAATTATTTTCCGTAGGCAAGTGGGTTTGCAGTGTTGCGTTTCTCCATTAGGTACCTTTACTAAGCACTCTTCCCGTCCAGTTGACCAAATAGCGTCCATGAGACACCATCGCAGTTAATAGAGTGATTTTTTTTATTTATTTGCCCTCCCAACGCTCCGGGCGATGTTGTGATGACAAACGTTAAGGAACGCTGCGCCAACATCAAGTTCCGTTTCCTGTCCATCATGGCTGGTTTATCGACACCAAGGCAGTCGTTCATGTTAAGTTTGTTCCTCATGGCACCACAGTGAGCCGGGATCAGTTCACAATTTCCGTTCTGTGTGCAACACTTATCGATTATTCATCTCTCGTCAGTACGCGCCGCTTCCAGATAATCCCCAAGGTTCGATAGACGAAATAGTAGTTCATGCTTACGCGGAAACTACCTTCCTTCGTTGAACAGGCGTTTGCACTTGGTTATCAACTTCGGAAATTATTCCTTCGAGAGGAAGCCCATTATGTTTATTTCGGCTGGCGTTTCGTTGTCTATCCCGAGAATGATACATGTTAAAGCATGCATACCTTGCTCATTTGCTTCATGGCGGCTGAAAGAGTAAATGTGGTGCATTTATACGGCAACGTAATGGGGATTTACTTCCACCCTTATGGCACAGTATTTTACCATAGTGACGTATGGTTTGATGGACAAGGTTCAGCACGTAAGTGATTCAGGACCCAGTAGGAAATCCACAGTTTAGAAATGCGCGGGTCATTACTGAGAATGGGTTTCGCCGGTCTCGTCCTCGCAGGTATTGTTGGGGCTGTCTTGGGTATGCCGCTCCCAAGAAATACAGTGTGGTCTGGGGCTTAGTTTCAGGACGGGCCGGTTATATATTTCAGAGTTATCGCAGGATTGATCGATGAATGTCACTTCCAAATCGCTGAGTTCAAGGAAACAGAGTGCTCATCAGGAAATCGGCAGTTTACTCGTGAGTTTTTGGGTTGTCAACAGCAATTATCATCATCAGGCGAAGTGACTGGGAACGTGGTTCGCCCGTCAGGAAATTCAGGGCAGGCAGACCATGGTCGAATGACTGTGTATTTGTTGAATCGCATTACTTATGCCAGCCGTTATCTTTTTTCCCAACGACATGCTCACTGACACATCTCCGGCCTCTGTGCCTACCAACAGGTCATCGCCACAATCGAGGCCCGCGCCAAAACTGCCGATATTTTTCCCTCCACCACCACCGCCGCCTCCAGAGAGGCGCACAGAATGGGTCCTCGGAGCCTCCTACGTGGCAGTGCAGGAGACGTCCACGTTGGCAGCCGTACAACGACTGATGACCGGGCAGACTTTCTGGCTAGTCCCTTCTACGACCTCCTCTTCGCCTTCTACGTGCATCGCTCCCGGTTCCGCTCCGCTGCCGAAGTCTGCTTTGAACAAGCCCTCCGACTTGCCGAAGAGATTAGCGACCGTGGCATTGCTGATACAGGCAAACGCGGTCAATTAGGCGGTGCCAGGGTGCTGGCATTGTTACAGCAGCAGGCGCTTTGCCTGTCCAATACAGTCAACCTACTGCAACTGGTCCCGCCTGAGGACCAGTGGCTCATCCAGCCCGCTTCAATTGCCGGTTTTATTCAGGCAGATGAGGAGGAGGAAGAAGCGGAGGAGGTAGGAACCTTTGGTGTGGTTGTATGTCCGCCTACGTATTCACATTTGCTGCTAGCACATGTTCAAAGCGAGCCAGACTCGGTCCTTCGGAGTCTGCAGTCCTGGCTGCTCGCACTCATGTATCTGTGGGCGGCTTTTCCCTACAAATACTCCGGACGAGTGACTCCACGGCCTTTTTTTGTGGGGCGGGGTCGTTAGGACGATGTTTGGCCGCCTCGTCTGTAATCTTTGGTATATGCTTGAAAAACCTCATGTAGGTAGATCTCAGAGGTCACACTTTTTGACCTCCACTTAGAATAGCACTCCTTATCGGCCGGATCTGTCTTCTCCAGGTTCCAGTCAGGCGGTACTTTTTAACTTGTATTGCTCATAAGAAATAATGACCCCATTCCCTCAGGCGCGTCGTCCCCGTAGTTACTTGCGTTATTGAGTTCGTTGTGTGTAAATGTGAAATTTAACTTTCATTTTCCAGGCACAATTTGACCAGAACAGTGTAGGGCTGAAACGATTGAAATTTACGTCCGTAGGCAGGTGATTAAGAGAGATGATCTAATGATGGCACCAGCGGATCTTGGTAGTTTACACGTCAACCTCCGATCGATAGTCCGTCGTGCTGGTTAGGCGTAGAGATGGGCTTGGTTTTCCCAGTGGCTTTCAGCCAGTTCTTTTGCAAACATCAAATCTGAAAAGCCGCATTTTGTTAGTTGAAAGACTTTTCATTGCCTGGTTCCTCCTTTACCTCACCGTTCTTTGTTTTGTGGTCGACGATCGACTCGCGCTGTTTTTTTAGGTGAATTTCCCGGCCACTGAGAACGAGGAAGGAGACAGCAGCATCTTCGACGACTGGGCATTTGAGCCGGAGATGGGCGCAGTAGAAGAAGAAGAAGAAGTTGAGGGCTATGTCGACGCCATAGGTAATGGAGCCAAGGGCGACGCGCCCGGCAGTGTCTCTGACTGCGTGTTAGCGCGTCAGGCGAAAGGCAGGCGCATCCTCACTCTGGCCGACATTCAACGCCAGTATGTCTTCCTGCGGGCCCGCCTTCGACTGGCACAGGTCTCCTGGGAGCAGGGCATGCTGCGCGTTGGCTCCACCTCTCTTGCGGAGCTCTATCAAGCTCTCACCAGTTCTGGCCTCTTCCACGTACGTTCTCCCTCCCCCCTCCCCCGCTTCTCAGCCTCCACAGCCCCCCCCCCTTATACTTGCGCCTTTTTTTATTTGCTCTCTGTAGGAGGCTTTTCGTCTGATGAGCTCCTTCAGCCTTGACCCGAAAGTCCTAGTTAGTGCGGTAGCAAGCCGCTGTGCTACTCTGGCTCAGCATAAACTGGCCGCCAATAAAGCGTCGGTGTTGCTTGGCAACGACGCGCTGCCATCCAGTCTACCGGCGTTGGCTAGCTCGACGTCGCCGCTGGCATTGGAGCAGTGTCTCGTGCTGCAGTCATTAACGGCGCTTATCGACGCATTTCCCGAGCAGGCGGAGGCAACTGCGGAGACTGCTGACGAGAATTGGACCGGCGGCCATACACTTTCCAGGTTAAACTTCTTGATTTTCATTCAGACCTCCTACCTTCATTCGGGGCAGCTGAGCTATTTTACTTACCCATGCCAGGTGCAGTCAAGAAGTTGGAATGGACTGATCCAACCTTAGATTCTCTATGGTGGGTTTCTTCGGTCCTAATGACTGAGTTGGAATCCAGTCTTTATTGAGCCAGTGCGCACAGGCAGCTAATAGCGAACTCCCATGGCAATCTCAGGATGGAGGCGGTTGCTGGTCGAATGTTTCGCGTAGTGTGTATATGTGTGGTCTGCACAGCTCATTGTCCCCAGAACGAGTCAGTCTGGCTCACGGCACGCGTTTATCGGGCTGTGCAGATTCCCCGCAAGATAACGCCTACTACCGTGCATGCGTGTGGCCGCACGTCTTGACGTACAGTTAATGTGCTATCACATGAAATTTTAACAGAAATTGTGAACTGCGTCTTCCGTTCGAAAAGATTACTTAAGTAGGATTGTAATACTAATTAGACTGCAGGTCACCAAACCTTGAAACAAGTAAGGCGATATCATCGGCATAGTCGAGATGTCACGGGTGAACGAGGTCGCTGGGAAGACCAAAGTGTTTTCAAGCTGCATCCCTGACCAGGAGAAGGCACATCTCGGGATTGATGGCTGTCAACTTGAAGAAGTAGACAGTTTTAAATACCCTGGGGCGAGGCTGCTGCCTAATGGACAGAGTAAGGACGACATTGTCTCCCGAATCGATGCTGCCCGCTGGGTTTTTTCAAGCCTTCGGAAATGCCTGTGGAACCGACGTGACCTCTCCATCGCTACAAAAAGTCGCGTGTACCGTGCATTTGTCCGGTCTGTCCTTCTCTACGGTTGTGAATGCTGGGCTTTGCGCGTGGAGGACGAGCGAAAGCTGGAGGTATTTGACCACCACTTCTTGAGGACCATCCTTCGAGTGAAGTTCACCGACTTCGTCTCAAATGAGACAGTCCACGCTCGCTACGACAACATCGCAAGGCTAACTCAGGCCATCCGAGAAAGACGACTGAAGTGGTTCGGGTATGTTTTTCGTCGTCCACCTCATTAGCTCAGTGTTACTGCCCTCGATCCGGCACCGCTACCCCATTGGAGGCATCGAAGAGGCGGTCAGTTCAAAACCTGGCTCGACACAGTTCGTCAAGACATGGAGGTTGTTCTTGGACCTTCGGTATTTGGTCTCCGTCGTTGACGAAGGGGATGGGTTGAGCTGTCCAGATCTGCTGCCGCGGGTCGTCACGTGTGGAGAGGTACAGTTCGGGACATCATCGAGGCCGGCTAGATCAGGCATGATCGCAGCTGTATCAAGTACAAGTAGTACATTAATTCAAATGGGTTCCGTAAGCTATGTAGCGCAATTCTGTATCGAGTCGGCCTAAACTCTTCTGCCAGTCACTTTGCAATTGCATGATAGGGTGGATTACTCAGGTTTTATATCGGTTCGCATCGGAGGGTCTGGTTTATGAATCTTTGACAAGCCACATATCCTATGGGTCTTGCTCCTTGGGTTTTAAGAGCCTCGGATTCTTGTTCACTAAGAAACTCTCTCTCTCTCTCTCTTCCAGTTTCTTAAGCCACTTTGTATGTTGGACCTCTATGCTTTCGGCTTGGTCTTTGTTTTGCGTCGCTCTTTTGAGCTGAGTGTCACCGGCCAGGATTGGTCCCATTTTTTGAAAGTAAACACCTTTATTCATTAGAGCGAAACCGGAACCTTTGTCCTGTTTGGTGACGAATATTTCCTTGTTTTGACATAATTCCTTGCGCTTCTCTAGATGTTCTTTGGTAATATGCCCGATTCTTGGTAGCTTTTTTTAAAGTATTCGTAGCAACTATTCTTATCCTACTTAAGCATCGTAGACGTTTCCCATTTATTTCCCAGGCCCTTGCAAGTTCAAATATATTTTATGGAAAACATGCACAAAAATATGCTTTCTTCTACTCATTTGGCAGCAAATTACGTCTTCAGATTTTGTACTTGAAGAGAAAGTACCTCTTGGTTTTCTAATTATGTGATTTCTTAAGACCTTGAAATGCCCGAAAACACAGCACCGCATCATCACATTTATTCATGTCGTTTATAACGTAGTCCACATTCATATCAAGAATTGATTAACCCTGTTTGTCTTCTTCATAACAACGCATAGAAATGTATGGTTGTCCTTGCACGAGAAGTATACAACTTGTGGTTCGACGACTCTGAATGCAAGTGCAGCGGCAGGTGGGACAAAGATTTGGCGAGGGGTGGTTCTGCAGCCCCACTTGATTGATACCGTATGGTTAGTCTACTAAAAAAAACTTTAGTTAACATCCNATGGCCACTGCGGTTGAACCGACGGAGTTCCGCACCGTTGGAACAATTCCATTATATCTGGGTTATTGTTGGGGTTCGCACACGAGTATATTTTACCCTTTCTGGAATTATGCGCAGGTCTACCGTTATGACTTGGGCGGGGCTTACCTATTCCCATGTCCTGTTTAGGGGCCCACAAAGTCAGTCCTACCGGTTCTGTTTTACTGTGGCCCTCTTGGCACCCACACGCACCTAAAATCCGAGCCACCCCCACAGTAGTCTGGCACGTTTGCGGTGGGGACCAGATCGTGCGTGGCAGGTATATATGGGCTGTTTAACTTTTCCAACCTTTTTGGTCCGCACTCACTTCGTCTCACCTTAACACCATCTTGCCATCGAATCAAAGTGGATAGAGGAGGAGAGAGTTCGGCAGATGCGACGCAGGTTTGCCTCATTGCCATTTACTTCACGCGCAGGCCACCAGTGCTGCGCCCACTCCGTGGGGTGCGCAGCGAAGCTTGTCGCTCGTGACGGTGATCAAATCATCGTTGGTGCGCGTAGTCAAAACGGCCGTCAAGTGTGCGCTGTTGAACCAGTCTTCGGGTGGCCTCGTGGCAGGTGGCCGACGCATGCATCTGCCGTTGTGCGTGGGCAGGGGAGTTGAAGTAGCATGACAACTACAGTGCGCCTGCGCAATTTGTAGCTTCATGGGTTTGCGCCGCCGCTTAACACACGCGCACGCGCTTATTCAGCTGGAAATCTATTAAACTATGACATTCGGACGGGGTCGCCTTTGTCATTACCACGCTCTCAGTGTAGGCCAACTCCTAGCAGGCTGGCCGGCTACTTGTTTGCAACTTGTGCCGTTTCCCTGTCTAGTGATCTTCTCACACTGTACTGGGGTCTTCTGAGAATTCTCCTGACCAACCTGGACGGTGCGGCTGCAAGACGCAAAGGCGTTGGCGCCGTCTGGGACCTAGCACTGACGGCCTTGCGCATCCTTCTCGCCTCGGAACCGCAGCCCGTGCAGATTCCCGGTTGGCTGACTCAACTGCTCCTCCGTGACCCCTTCACGGCGTCAGGAAAGGCCGTGACCACCACCGCGTCGGACACTCGTCCTCTGCCCTCCGCTGTGACACCGTACTTACGTCTGCTGTTGAAGTTTGGCCGACTGCAAGAGGCCTACAGGCTCTCCTGTGACATCCTCGCCTCCGCTTTGGGGCCCGAGGCGGTGCCCCTCTTCTCCTCGGTCAAGACAGTAAGTTGTTTGGCCTCTTCGTACGTAATGCAGACTTTCATGGTCTTGCCTCCCCGAACTCCTCTCTCGCCTCTCCAGTTGTTTTAGGTAGGGCTTGAAATTCTGACACATGTTCATGCGAGAAATGAGACTGTTGTGGTTGGCTAATCTAGTTCAGTATGCACTCGACCTTCTCCGAAGTCAGCGCAAGTTCGATTGTTGTTAGGGGATCCCTGTGTGGTTCAAGTATGGTCGCTAAGACACATGACTCCTTTCGCTCGTTAATGCCGATCAGTCTCTTTTGGCACCGCCTCAACTGGACTGGACGTGGGAAAACTAAGACCCCAACAGAGTAGCCGAGCACACTGGCTGTGGTCCAGATATCAATACTGACTTCATTGTGCTTGGTACAAGGCCACCTTCCGCTGTCTCGGAATTTTAGTGACACTGGTTTACGGTTGTGAGGTTTGGAGGTCAAATGTTCGATAGGATGGGTAAAACCTCGGTGCGGGAGAGGCTAAGGCACACCAAGGAGCATCAATACCCGCGAAACGACTATGCCTGGCTTTTCACATAAAATTGCGGATATACGCACTTGTTGAACAACCGATGTAGTGTATATATGTTATATTTTCTGGTACTAGAATTCTGCTATTTTGTCCGGTGTCGACCGCCTTATTCATGTTGCGCCTCCTACGTTGAACGCAACTGATCAGTAAGGATTCCGTGGAGGAGCGATGAGGTTGCAGCTGTTTGCGTAGACGATCCTCCCCAGCATGTTCCGTATTGTCCTCACCTCAGCATCCGTCCAACTCTCTCTTCCGCGCTTGCTTTCCTACTTTTGTGTCTGCAGGCACAATCGCTCCTTCAATAGGTGACCTAGCTGATGAAAGGTGTCCAAATCTGCGAGTGATTGCTAATCACCCTCAAACCGGCGCAAATACATGGACCCAATATTTATATTAATAAAGAACAACTTTAAGGGAATTGAAAACATAAAATAAGTATTAAAGTTGGTATTGCGTTGTTCAGAAATATTATTTTTTTAGAAAAGAAAAAAATTCGGAAACGGCAAAAAATGGTCGTGAGTAAACTTCAGTTTTAGGTTTACGGAGGCCTTATCCATGCAAAAGATCGACTAAATAAACCAGTACAAATAGAGTAACGTTAACCAATAGTCTTTTAGTGAAGTTTAAAATCAAATATCCTTTAAGAATTCGTGTAATGTCAGGTATGGCGGTTCGCCAACCACCTTCATTCTGAGTTTAGACTCCAAATCGACCGCCCATAAAGGCAGATTCCGTATTATATGTTTGTTAAAGCCTTCAAAATATGATATTTCTCGAAGACATTAACCAAAGTAGTGAGTGTTTGCGTGTTTTTTTATGTAGATGGTCGTTTGGGTTACATTTGAAGGCACACTAACGTTAAGCCTCATTTTCGAAATAAAATGAACGTCCACAACGAAAATCAACAACAAATATGCGTTTGATCAATTGGAAATCTTCATCCAATAAACCAAGAAAAATACTGCTACTTTTGGTTGTTTCTTCCAAGTTGTTAAAAAATACTGCAAGTGTTTATGCCGCAACTGAAGGAACATTTTTGCTACTTTTGCTCGCTTGTGGGCTCCGTTCTACTATTATAAATACTGGTATTTTGCTAAAACCGTTAATATTAACCTCGTTCCATTTCTAAATTACGTATGTGCAGAAACTAGGCTGCACGAAAAGTAACGTTCCACATCCGCGGAATTGAAAACTAAAATTGGATGATAGTCTTTTTGATCTCATCTCGTGATATTTTCCAAATGGCGAAAAACTTTCTGTCCATTTAGACCAGGGTTTGCCTGTTTGCGTTATTACTGCACTTGATGGCACGACGTTGCACAGATTTGCGTCCAGTTTTCTAAAAAAAAAACCGATCGCCATGATCAGCATTAAACGAGAAATCTATTTTACAAGTGCGGTAAGCCCTGTTTAGTTGAACTTTCAAGGGTAAATTACTCTTCTCTTAAAGAAAAACACGCTCAGATGTGGGAACGAAGTCCAGGACAGGTGTTAGCCTGGGGAGTTGCGCGAATATATCTCAATGTGCATTATCGCTCGAATTTACGAATGTTTTGCTTGGACACATTTTCTGTACAAGAATGACCACCTACTGGAAGGGGCTGGGCAAGTGAGAGAAATGCACAACGTTTAAGATGTCTAAAAACTCTCATCTCAGTTTCCGTCATCACGTTTTATGCGTTATGTCACGTACTGTACATCAGAATGTACCTATGCCCAATGCTGTTTCCTTGATTGCTATGCGTATTCTTTGTTTACCTTGCAGACTAATCTCAATCAGCTGAAAATCGACATTCAGGCCTTCCCTCATCGCGTTACCTCTGCGGCTTTCTGCCTACCTCACAGTCTCCTGCTTCACCTACTCGCAGAGCTTGACCGTGCAGCGAAAAATTCGTCCGTCCATACTGCGGTGCGTTACCCCTGCTTCGGTTTCTGTTTCCCCTTCGCCCCCTGTCTTCATAAATAACAGATAGATGGGAAATCCTGCTTGAGCAGTCACCTTACTGTATCAGATTTGGTGGTTACCATATGTTCCAGTAGACTTGGTGGGTAACTTGACCCCAATGTGATTATAGTCACTGTTGCCGGTGGAGCCTCGTAACTCAGGTGGCTAGAGCGTTGGCTTTAATCGAACCTTCCCATTGCTATCGTGGGTTCGAATCCCACCGAGCTCGTCGATTTGTTCAGGGTTGAGTCCGCCGTCTGACGGACTGAAGTTCGTCGGTGCGTCACCACCTACTCTTCTCTGTCCCTGCCGATCGGGCACTTATTAAAATATGAAGGGGGCGCACACTGACCCATTGGCTTATTGAATCAAACAAGCCTCCAATAGGTCAGCTTTATGTATCAGATTTAGTGGGTATGCTAGGCAGGTAACTAAACCCAAATGCGATTAAACTCACGCCTCCGGGTTGAGCCTCGTAACCCAGGTTACTAGAGCGGTGGCTGTAATCAAACCTTCCCCTTTCTGCCGTGAGTTCGAACCCCACCGAGATGGCCGAGATTTGGCAGTTGGATGAAAATAATATATAAATGCAGAATGACATTACCGATAAATTTGAATAAGACAAAGACGCCAAAGCATGCAGAATTTACTGACGTCATAAATTTCGAGACCTCTCATTCAACTACACAGCTAGCGCGGTCAAAGCATGTGATGGACTCTGTGAGTCCAATGTGTTGGTTATTGTTTACAAAATACGTTCTAAACTTGCAAGCTAAAGTAAGACAATCGTCCCACGCTGATCTGATGAAGTCGCTAAATATACAACCCGTAGGCGAATCGTTCTCAGTAAATCCAGATGACTACATTGTTAACATGTCGGATTTGAAATTGACTAAACTGTAAGCCGAGGCCCTCTCTTTGGGACTTAAGTTTTGTGTGCTGACAAGAAAAATTGATCCGACCTAGATTGAGGCTTAATTTGAAGACCTATATCACCAATTATCGGAATTAACACCGACGTCGGAGAACAATGTGAGATGGTTTAAAGCGAAATTCGTAGATGTCGCCTATCAATACAGAACGTTCCCGACTACGCAACGCTCACTGCTAACCAGACAACACATCTCGGCCCTAACTGACCTACGTAAGACTACTGAAGTTGTCATCTCAAGACCTGACAAAGGAAGCGGGGTCGTGATCCTAAACAAGACTGATTACGTGAGAAA